TCTGCTGGAGCAGCAGCTGTGGCGCGTGGAGCTACTGCAGGGCAGCCTGGCCGCCCGGCTGTTATCTGGCCGGGACCTTGGCCTGGCGCCCTCGGGGCCTCCACACGTTCACCGCGTCAGCAGTTTCAGCGCCGTCTCCTATTTGCTGAGCCCCTCTTATCTGGACTGCCTTTCCCCGCTGGAGCGGAGCTGTCAGAACTTCATCGCCGGTGGCGAGCTCGTGGACTTGCAGCCGGTAACCGGCCCGGAGAGCAGCTGTCCGCCAGAGGACCGTTCTCCCCCGCGGCCACTGAAGGCGGAGGTCGCCTGCTCCTCCTGGCAGGGATGCTCGTCTCGCTCGAGGGAAGGCCTGCCCGAGATTCACCACGTTCGCATGAAACGGCTGGAATTCCTTCAGCAGCCTAGCAAGGGGCAGGCGTTACCCACGCCTGACCAAGATCATGGCTACCATAGCCTGGAGGAGGAACACAGCCTCCTCCGGATGGACCCGAAGCCCTGCGGAGGCGTTCCTCCTGCCGGAGCCAGTCCCGGAACCGCCCAGGAGCCCGCGAGAGAAAGACAAGAATTGACCAAAGAGGCTCCTCTTGCTGGGGAAAGGCAGGACCCAGTGGAAAGCTGTCTGTCTGGTGAGGCCCCTGTGGAAAGAGAGCCCGAGGAGGACCGCCTAAGTGTAGCTGACTTCTCAGACATAGACGATGACCTTCCCGTGTCTGCCAGGCCGGCCTGTAGCAACCGATTGATAGATTACATTTTGGGAGGTGCGGCCAGTGACCTGGAAGCAAGTTCTGACTCAGAAGGTGAGGATTGGGATGAGGACGCTGAGGATGACGGCTTTGACAGTGATGGCTCGCTCTCAGAATCAGACCTTGAGCAAGACTCTGAAGGGCTTCACCTTTGGAACTCTTTCCACAGTGTAGATCCTTATAATCCCCAAAACTTTACAGCAGCGATTCAGACTGCTGCCCGAACTGCTCCTGGAGACCCGTCTGACTCAGAGAAGGATCTGTCTGACAAGTCTGATCTGGAGGAGAATTCTCCCCAGACTGGAAGCCTCCTTCCTGAGTCTCCTGACCCTAATTCTGAGGAGGAAGATGACTGGGAATCTAGTGCAGATGAAGCAGAGAGCCTCAAACTGTGGAACTCTTTCTGTAAATCGGATGACCCCTACAACCTTTTAAATTTTAAGGCTCCTTTTCAAACAGCAGGGAAAAATTGGAAAGGCTGCCATGACTCAGAGAGGCCATCTGAGCCCATTGTGACCATCTCTGAGTGTCACACCTTACTTTCCTGTGAGGTGCAACTGTTAGGGAGCGGAGACAGTGAATGTCCAGACTTGGTAAGGGGTGGGGTTCTTTCTGGAGGACACAAGCATATCAAGAGAAAAAAGGTTTGTTTGTTTCTTTTAACTTGTTGGATGATACGTACAGACTGTTGTGATTTGGTTAAGTATAGCAGCATGACTTTCCTGGAGGGGTAGTAGTACAGTGCATATGCTTGACGAGTAGAATGTTGTTCCTGTCCAAATGGGAGATGCCAGTGTACAGATGTTAGCAGGAAAGTGCCATTTTCGTTGGCAACTCAGAGCTATAGCCCTACATGCTTCACCTTTACACTCTTTTTTAAGGAATTGAAAAGTTAAACCGTGTGTATACATGACTTAATTTCCCGAGATTGGGAAGGCCTAGTATAGCCACAGAATTTTCAAATGTTGTTAAATGTGGTATGTCATACTAAGTGTCTTCATTCCTTTCCATTCGAACCTGGAGGAATGATGGGACCAAGGAGCAAGTCAGATTAATTTTTTTGTTTTTGTTTTTTTACCATGAAAGGAAATAATTTTAGTATTAAAAATTGTGACATGTACATGACTTTAATTCTGTTTAAAAAAACACAGGAAGTAGTGTTGCCTTTAAGAATGCAATACTAGTTGTCATTAGCTCTACAGGTTAATAATTATGTAAAGCAATGATGGTCACTTATTTGGGTTACCTTAAGTAGTTGCTTCCTATTCCCAGTCTAATTGTAAAACTTTATGGAGCATTTTATCTTCCAGCTAAAGTTACTAATTGGAGAGAAAGCCTCTCCAAACACACAGGGTATCTTTTATTGTAGAGGAAAAGTTTCTTTCGTTACCTGTACCTTTATTTGGACAGAGAAAGGAGTGGATGGATTATTGACCTCACATTCTGCAGCATCTGGGAGTTTCCAGTGGAGAGTACCCTCACCCATTGGCTCTAAATGTCTAGTTTAATACTTTGAAACTATTTTGGGGGTAGAAAATATCGTTAAAATGTGATAATCTTATGTCTTACCTGTAGATGCAAAGTAAGTCATGTTAAAAAAAAATGGAAATTTTAGTTTACACTTCTGTATCATCATAATACAGCTTTTCTCTATCTTTTTAAGGGGCCCCTGACTCAATGACCTACTTAGTGAATTATGTAAGAAACAGCAGGGCAATGGAATGACCACTTGCCACCTGGAGACCTGTGTTCCTTACTTCTGAGTGGTTAGGGCCAAGAGATTTGGGAATACAGCCAAACCTGGGAAGTAACTTGACCTCTCATGGCTTTGAATAACTCATTTATCTTATGGGAATAATAATAATACTGTATGAGTTATTGCATGATTCAAACGAGATGAGTAAACAAAACTCGTAATTCATTGTCTTGCCTTTAAATGGTAGCTCTTATTGTTCAGGGATGTCAAGCCAGTTGCATGTCTCATTTTAGCCTGCTCATTGAGTAAAAATGGAATGAGTCAAGTAGGTTTGAGACTGTTGACCGAACTAGAAGCAACATTTATCAAAGATTATGCCTAAAATGTGGTTAAATTATTTGACAGCCTTTGCCTACTTGCCATTCTTTAGATATATGGGAATAATCGGTAGTGCCCAGTGCTTAAAATGAAGCTCTTACTTAGATCTAGGAGTTTAAAGTGCCTAACATGGTACAAATTGTGGAGCCAGACTCAGGGTTTGAATCCTATTTATACCACATAGAAGCTGTGTGATTTGAACAAGTCAGTTAACTTCTGTTTTGTCTGTTTCCTTATCTGTATAATAGTACCCTATAGGGTTGATGTGAGGATTAAATGAGATAAAAATTGTAGAGTGCTTTGAAAAAGAGCCTCGTATATGGTAAACACTATGTAAATGTTGCTATTATTTATCTTAGTGACAGTAAGTGACACTAGAATGCAATATCTGTAAGGGTTTACATACCATACCTACTAATTGTCCTCGGGGGCATTTATTGGCCTGATGTAAAGGGAATGAAAGTAGTAGGCCACAGTGGGGTTAGCTGATGAAACTGTTGAGCATACTTTAAAAGCAAGTACCTATTTACTTTTGGGGTTTGATATCTTTTTTTTTTTTTTTTTTTTAATTTTTTTTTTTTTTTCCTCTTTTTTTCCCCCTCATAACTCCCCTCCTCCCAGTTCCCGCCCCACCCTCCGCCCTCACTCCCCACCCACTGTCCTCATCCATAGGTGCACGATTTTTGTCCAGTTTCTTCCCGCATCTCCCATTCCCCTTTCCCCCCCAAGAATAGTCAGTCCATTCCCTTTCTATGTTGGGGTTTGATATCTTACAAAGAGACTTATTGGAAATTAAATAGGGATTAATGGGGACTGTGACTCATTACATGTGATCATGTGTATGACAATATGCACAATTTTATGTATATAGGGTGTCCCAAAAAATGTATACACACTTTGAATGATTATAAAGTCAGTGTTTGTTAACATACAGTTCATTTTCAAAATGTAAAAGAATCTACAGAAATGAATACTTTTTTTTTGGTCAATGCCTGTTTTCAAACTGATGACCGTTCTGGTCCAGGCACTACTGATAACGCGAAGCAATGGAATTGCAAACATCAAGAATCATTTTGTTCGGTATTTGTGTGCCTCAATTTGTCAGCTGTTGATGGTTTTGTACCGTAAGCTTTATCTTTTATGTATCCCCAAAAAATGTCTAGTGCATAAATTTTCTTTGTTCAGAGCTTAGTCTGGTTTCACCCATTATTTCAAATCAGTTGAACCTGAAAAGGAGTGAAATTAAGTGAGTTAGCAGCTGTTAAAGTGTGTATACATGTTTTTGGGACACCCTGTATATAGTGACAGCATGTTGAAGAGGAATACAAGAAGGATTTTTAACTTAGTTACAAAATCTCTTATAGTATCACTAGAGGTCTGTGCACTGGTGGAGTCCCTCGGCCTGGCCTGCACCCTCTCGCAATCCTGGACCCCTTGGGGGATGTCAGACTGATGGTTTTGGCCTGATCCCTGCAGGCCAGGCTTAGGGACCCCACCGGTGCATGGGTGCACCAGGCCTCTAGTATGCATGTAAGATATTTGGTTCATCTCTTCCCGTCCTCCCCCCTCCCCCCTTCCCGCTGAGATTCATCAGTCTGTTCCATGTTTCCATGCCTTTGCGTTGAGCGTCTTCCCCCTGGTGGTCAGTGCACGTCATAGCTAACAGTCAACTGGTCGCTTAGGCATTTATAGATACAGATAACCTTAAAGAGATGTTAATTTTGTTACACTTTGCTAATTAAGTAAATTCCTGTTCTGTACTCTGATTACAAAAGTAATATTAAGAATAACACCACATGTCATGATTAAAAAATTGGAAAGCACTGACAAGTAAAACTTCTTTTAAAAAGGAAGAATAGAAATAAGTAAAGATTTTGTTTAAGCTTTTGTGTTAAAATAATAGCCTTGACTTCCAGGTATATATTTCTGAAATCTTTTGTTTGAAGACATTTATCATTTTCGAAGAAGGGTTTCACAGAACTGAATATCACTAAGGATTTAATAAGTAAAGATTAATAGCATCAGGAATATCGCAATTCCCCATCTGGATTCATTTTATTAACACCAAAAACCACAAGGGGATAGGGTAGATGACAAGGTGCCCATTGGTTTGTTGTTGTTTTTAATATATTTTTATTGATTTCTGTGATGAGAGATAATTAGCTGCCCCATGCACGCCCCCTACTGGGGATTGAGCCTGCAACCTGGACATGTGCCTTTGATCGGAATCGAACCTGGGACTCTTTAGTCCACAGGCCTACGCTCTATCTACTGAGCCAAACCAGCTAGGGCTGCCCATTGTTTTTTACTCAGATGCCATCTAGTCAGAACCCTTTTTTTTTTCACTTCCTTTTATAGTTGAGACCAAATATTCTTGTAAGATATTTGATATTCTTAAAGAGTTAGTAGCATAAAAGGTTAATTACCTCATTGATGATTATAAGATCCTAGAGAGTGATTAAAGTTAGTTTTTGTCTTCATAGGTAACCTTCCTTGAAGAAGTTACTGAGTATTATATAAGTGGTGATGAGGATCGCAAAGGACCATGGGAAGAATTTGCACGGGATGGATGCAGGTTCCAGAAACGAATTCAAGAAACAGAAGACGCTATTGGATATTGCTTGACATTTGAGCACAGAGAAAGAATGTTTCAGAGATTCCAGGAAGCATGCTTCAAGGGACTTGATGCTTTCTAGCCATGTTCAGATGACGTAATAGCCTCCAGCCCTAGCATACACTAAGTAACTCTTACTTCAGAGGTTTCTTTTAAGACAAAAATTGGCAGCTGTCCTTGGACCATTTTTTTAAGAGGATATGTAACTTGGATCCAGCAATCTTGTTTAATATTGTTTTGCAACATATCCCACTCAGAAATGTCCAGGTTGGAAGCCAAGCCCTGATAATGAAGGATGAGATGTGTGATTTCTAATCTTACCTTGTTTCTTTAGTCAGATGTGTTTTTGGATGGTGTTTGCTTCTTGAGGTGAAAAAGGAACCTCTTAAGGTGTAACTCTGCACTTTCAAAACTTATTTTCTTGGGAAACAATGTAGGGTTCAAAGCCCATTTTGTATTTTAATTTAAATTACGTGTACCTGTCTAAAAACTGGGCTCTTTTTACTTTTTCCCTCCAACATTCTTTTTTTTTCCCAATTTATCTTTATTGTTGAAAGTATTACAGTTGTCCTTTC